ATTACTATTGATGATTTATTATGAAAATACTGATGCCTGTATCTATCATATATCTCTTATAAATTCATGAGGTTGCTTACGATCGTAATCCTGCTAGATACAAACACAAAACCATTCAAAATAACTGTTTTTATCCAGTTTTCGAAGCTGAACACGAATCTGAGCTCAATTTCTGTGATCTCTAAAGATATTATATCACGCTGAGGGTAGAGTCAGTGATCACTGGATAGAGTTGCATACAGTGTGGTGCATGCTAACTTAGCATGCCTGAATTTTCTCCTTGTAATTTAGTGAGAAGGGATGTATCTTGATGAGATCTATGCCTTATAGAAAAAAATGGATGTATTTTTTCGGTTTTTGAAGTACAAATAACAATCGGATGCAAATCCGATGTTTTCGCATTTATTTTTCTTCATTTAGATTTAGTGTCAACTTAGAGCGATGCTCATCGTTTCTAAACTAAACGACTTTAAAAAAATGAATTTATGATCATGTTCTTCGCAATGTTTTTTCGAATATCTTGAAATGATGAAGGATCGGGGTGAGGTGTGGGACTTCTTTTCTATCAAATCAATACCCACGCCTTCAATTAAGATAGTGATGATGTATCATTTGTCGGTTAAATAATATAGAATCATATCACAATCAGATGAATCTATGACAAATATGGCAAAAAAAAGAATGAGAATCTGGATAAAATAACAACATCCGATGATAAGCGTAATTTACAAATACTCCCAAAACTTTTTACCTCACATTTATTTTTAATTATCTACTGCTTTCATTTTGAGTAAACAAATGACTACTGTTGTGATCATCAAATCCAAACGATTGGAAATAAGCTGATAGTATTTATTGTGGAAAGATATGATATTAAGGTTGGACAATAGGTTGCAATTTTAGAAAAAAAAGCAGTTGAGAGATGAGATTATCTTAATAGTGGAAAAAAATAAAACAATTTGTGTCTTTGATGCCAATGAGACGCATCTACATCATCAAGAGTGGCGTACTTGTATTGAAATATCTCACAAGAAGATATGACGATCTTGACCAGAGATAATCATTATAATTATACCCATAAGTAGAATCACAACGTTAGCCATCACGCTGAAGCCAATACATGCTGTAAATATTTATAAGAATATTATATAAATATCATGTTGCTATTATTTAAATGCTTCGATTATTCGATTATCGCTCTCGTATTTCAACAGCACTGTATTAGAATGTCAGTCTGACTAACTGAGAAAACGTGAATCTTTAAATGAGTCAAATTTTAGCAGATAGCTATAGCCGATTTATTTTAAGTTTATTTTTTAGCTCAATTTCTCTGGATAAAAATAAAGAAGATATCGAGTTTTTGTTCCCAACGTTTGAGCAATAGTTAAGTTCTCAATATTTACATCTCATATCTGTTTCATATATTTCAATTTGTTTAATTAATCTCAGCTGAAATTTGCAGGCATAGATAATGAAGATTATCAAAACCAGACGCTATACTTGCAATTATTTTTATTTCAAGTCTTCTTCGCGAATATAATGTGAGACTGTTCATTTAGGATTTTCAGTAAGAGCCAGCGTATTCAATCAGATTATACAAATGGATATCCATTTCTGGTCTTTTTAATATCAACATTGGGTAATCGCTGGAGAAATTCGAACAAAAATTTCAAAGGAAAGTTTTGCTAATAGCTTCCAGGCAAGTTAGCTCCACTTATCCTAAGACTTTATTTGAACGTTGATTTTATATGAAATCTTCTAAGATTTACTCTTCAAGTTTACTTACTGATTGCAGGTGATGATGATACTGGCATAATGTGAAGGTACTTAAGATTAACTTTGGATGGATCCGATGTAAGTATCGAAAAAGTCCCTGTCATTCTTGGATTGTGCGTTGTGAAAACTAAGATATACTCTGAGCCATATTGCATTGGATAGCTCATAAGAAATTGGTGATCACCACCACTGTCATCATCTTCAGTCAACAGATTTGCTCTAGGATTCGATGGATTAAAATTGTTCTCATACAAATAACCGTATGCATCAAGAAGACTATCGCTTTTAAAGCTGTATGTACCGGTGGTAAGTACAGTGGCTTGTATTGCTTGAAAGTAAGATAAACCAGAATCTATTGTTCGATGAAATGTTGGGCTATTGGTTGTCAACATGTTTGTGTAACTAGCTGTAACAAAGTAGACATGTTCCGTTAGATAAGATACAATATATTTTGAAAACAGCTATGTATATGATGTCAAAGTTTTAAAAGAAACCTAAAATCCTTCTAATTGTAGTGTGGAAACATTTTGTTTCATAGAAAAAGAATATACACGTATGATATTGAATCCTACTATTGAAAGTACTTTATCAACCAAAGACAATAGTCTTTCGAACAACTATGATGCATGTGAATCAAATACAAAAGTAAAGAGTCGAATAATCTGAAGTCACTGATGATAGACGAAACATGATAATATGAAGACTAGAAAAAATGCTCATGCCATAAGCCTAGCATTCAGCTGAACGAAAACGACAGAGCTTGTAAATGCACGGTTCTCCGTATAGTCATTCTAAAGAAGACGATTTTGAAATCCTCCTTTTGAAAGAAATATGCGCAAACATTCGAATGGATACAATGCACTATTGTTACATACATGTTAGTGTAGTGGTATTTGGCATGGATTCAATAGTTGTTCGAATGATAGACACTTGCGTTGGTCCTCGCACTATCACTGTGTATGGCCCGTTGGTGTTGTCACTGAATGTTGTAGCAACCAAAGTGTATGTCACAAACGATTCGAGGTATACATTGAGTCGAAACTGTCCACTGCCAGCACTATCATCATCGAATGCTGCTAAGTTCCAAAGGGGAAAATTTTGAATAAAACTGCCATTGTACAAGTAACCATACGTATCAATAGTGCTATTACTAACAATAGTGTACAGGCCGGGTATCCTTGCTGTTACATCGAATGTATCATAGTAGTAGTTGCGACTTGAATTTGAACCATGCGGGCGAGCATACGTTGGGTTTTTATTAGTCCATATCGATGAAGCAATTGTATTGAACATATATCCCGTAGCTATTTAGAGCAATACAAAATAAACATTATTTATTTTTGAAATAGTTTTGCGGAGATACTCAAAAGATTATCATTCCGAAGTCATGGATCAGAGTTGTGAATCATGCAATTCAAGCATGACATTTATCGTAGGTTTTCAAGTAACGTATGTGAAAAACATCTCAATGCGGTTATATCCATTGATATATACACAAATATTCATTTTTTTTCTTTCAATTTACCAGAAAATAATATGAGATGACGATTTCTGCATAGAGAGCACTTATTTTTCATCTTCTCGACATAGCATGGTGCAACTGTTATAATTTTAATTGATAAAATAGAATCCACTTACTACTTGTCTTAGTATTGAAAACAGATGTTGCTGTGCTAGGTATTTGTGTCGTTATTGTAACAGTTGTTCGAAGAATATTCACATGTCCTAAACCTGATGTCATTACCATGTATGAACCAAAGACGTTCTCATAAAATGTTGTTACAACCAAAACATATTGAGCATAAGACTGAAGATACACACGGAGCTGAAATTGTGAATTTCCACCACTTTCATCATCGGATATCACTAAATTACGAGTCGGTGAATTTGGAAAGAAACTGCCATTGTACAAGAAGCCATAAGTATCAATACTACTATTGCTGACAATGGTGTACAAACCAGCTACAGTTGTCATTACATTAAATGTGTCATAGTAGTAAGTTGAGTTTAAAGTATCTGGACGAGCATATTTTGGATTAGCCAAACTTAGCGTTGACCAAGCAGTTGTATTGATCATGTACGCATTAGCTATCGTTAAAGAAAGGGGCATTAGATGGAAATTAGATTCCTCTGTGATGAATTTGGGTGTGAATTTATTGATTCTCTCTTCACTAATACCCACGGATACATCTATCTCAATTGCACACAAAATCTACAGACCGTCCATGGTTAGCATCGAAAATCATGCAAAATTTCTTAAAATACTCAGGACTAATTACATAAAATAAATTTTTATTTTTATAGACATAATCTTTTCTGATTTTCATAGAAAATGTTGTGATATTTGCATCTGAACTGGCGAGAACGCATAGCATTCATAGAGGTTCCATTCCTATTTTCGTATGTATTCACTTACTCGTCTGTGCAGTACTGAACCGATCTGTTGTTGTGCGGGTCATTTGTGTTACTGCCATACCAGTTGTTCGAATAAGACTCACAAGCATTAAACCAGATACTATCAATGTATATGGCCCAGTGGTCCGTTCATTGAATGTTGTAATTACCAAAGTATATTTTACATGCGCTTGAAGAAAAACTTCCAATCGAAACTGCGAACTTCCACCACTGTCATCATTATATTTTACTATATTCAAATCAGGATGATCTGGTACGAAATCACCATCGTACAAAGAACCAGCGGTGTCAAGTACGCTATTACTACCAATATCATAGTTTCCGCCCATTGGAACCATCAGACTAAATGTATCATAGTAGTAACTTCCGTTGGAAGCATCTGGACGCGTATATGCTGGATTATCGGAGGTCAATATTGATGAGGCAGACGTATTCAATATATTTAATATAACTATTTTAGAACAGAAAAATGTTAAAATTATCATATTATTCTGCATAGATGACTAAAGAACTACAGTAGTTACGGCTTCATGTAGTTTTTTTTCATCCAAAATATCCCTCAGAGCTATAGATTTGTCAGGTGTGAAAAGATTCTTCCATGAAACTACCGAAAAAGACGAGAAAACATTTCACTCGGTCTTGCCAAGTTCCTGGTAAGGTCCTGAAAAATAAATATTGAATAGTCTCTGAAAACAAACCTGTAAAGGCTTAAGATAGCTCTATGTCTTTTCTTATCAGAATCCTAGTCGTAATGGTACTCTTTTCAACAGTACCAAAGTATATTTCTTCGCCAATTGTTTTTAATGGCTTCTTGTTGCGAATATTGTGAAACAAGAAAACAATCGAAAACCCGCGCATTCAATTAAATACATGTTTACTTACTTGTTGGGAACGTTTGGTAACTATCAGTTGTTGCGGGAGCCACTGGTGTCGTTCCTATAATTGTTGTTCGAATGAGAGTGACTCTTTGCAGTCCAGACACGACCACTGTATATCGTCCAGTTTCAAAATCAGCAAATGTTGTGGCAACCAAAGTATATCTCGCATGTGGTTGAAGAGATACTGCAAATCCAAACTGCGTGCCCTCATTGCTATCATCGTTATTAACAATTAAATTCAAATCTGGGCGATTTGGTATGAAACTACCATTGTAAAGAGAGCCATAGGTATCCATTGCACTGTTACTACCAATGTAGTAGATTCCAGCCATAGATACACTGAGATCGAATGTATCATAATAACAACTCGAATTGCCGTCACCGCGACGATCATATATTGGATTATTCACAGTCAGTGCCGAGAAAGCAGTCGTATTAATCATATAGATCACGGCTATTTTACAGAAGAAAATGTTTTTAACATCTTATATTGCTCCTGATAAATGCTTAAAATGATTTTCTCGGAGTTGCATAACGCGAAAGCAAATCTCATAATAGGTAAAATGTACTGCTGACGTCAAAATACGAATCCATTAGAAACTTATGCTACAAATGATATTGTACGGGGAGAACATATCGGACATAAAAGTGAACTCGACTAAACGAAGTCAAAAATTGCTGACACGGTTTATCGAACTCAAACGATTGTCAGCCTAGTCACAATGAGAAGAAAGTGATTATTTTATTCTATTCTCAAAGCAGACCCTGCTACATACTGTTTTAAGAATATTTTTATATTAGTCATTGAATACGCTAGCACAAAAGAATAATTGGAAACAAGCGTACTGAATTTAATAGATGTGCACTTACTTGCTGGATTGGTTGAATAACTACCAGTTGTAATGGGAGCCACTGGTGTCGTCCCAACGATACTCGTTAGAATGAGAGTGGCTCTTTGTGGTCCAGACACTATCACTGCATATGGCCCAGTGACCATATTAGAAAATGTCGTGGCAACCAAAGTATATTGCACATGTGGCTCAAGAAAAAGCTGTAACTGAAATTGTCTACTGTCATCACCACTGTCATCATCGGATGCAATAAAATTCAAATCTGGACGATTTGGTATGAAAATACCATTGTAAAGAGAGCCATAGGTATCCATTGCACTGTTACTACCAATGTAATAAGTTCCAGCCAAAGATACACTTAGATTGAATGTATCATAATAGCAACTGGAATTGCCGTTATCGCGACGATCATATGTTGGATTATTAACAGTCAATGCCGAGGAAACAGTTATATTGATCAAATGTACCATAGCTATGGTGTAAAGAAGTATTTTTAATCATCTTTAAAATAGTATGCTTTTGATCGATGATCCTTAAGTTTTTAAAGAAAGTTATGTAGATAAAACTCAAGTGTTGTACAATGTATGAAACTGATATGATAAAATAGCTTCTGCTGTGCTGGTTATGGTAATCAAAAAATTAACTGTTCAAGTCTCTTTGAATATCGAATCTGTATAATAATACACGAATTAAATTATATATACTTACGGGCTGTGGTTGTCGTACGTAATGGTAATGTAATTCCAGTGGCTGAACAGTTGTACAATATTCGAACTTCTTGTATATCGATCGCACTCAAATTGGCACGTTGGCCAATTGTAACATTTGGTTGAAGTGGTTCGATTGTTGGAAGACCATTTGAAGAAAAGCCATTATTTGGATAATGCATTACGGAACCATAATCATAGGGTGTATTTAATGTATCTGCTATGCTGTTATCATATTTTTCAAAGTTGCTTTCCATGCCTTAAACAAGACGAAAAATAGTGGCTAATATCATCAAATTGAAAATTGAGTATGATGTTGAAAACATAGTTTATTACCTAATATCACATTTTCATAATTAACTCGAATATATTCATCACGATCTGGCCGTGACTGCTCATGAAAGAAACCTATATAGAAAAAGAAAACATTTCAATCATTGAAACCTATGATCTTAGAATGATTCATGCTCTTCCGGGTTAGAAGTTTCATTTTTCGTCTATTAAATATCTAATTATAGCTTTTGAAAATATTACCACATCAATTAATCTACTCATCATATAAATCAGCGCTTCAGCTGTACATTCAATCTTAAGTAAACACCGTAAAATTTAAAATCATAGTTAGTTTCATACGCAATCCACTACGTTGAATATGTGCTACTCGGTTTTCAGTAGGAAGCAACATTGTATATAGATAATTTCCAAAATGGTATCAGAAAGTCAATGCAATTGCATGTTCTTTCGTACATTCTTTTCAGAAGGATTCATACAGTTCAAGAATTTGGAGAAAACAAAAAGGTCATCCAGCATACAAACCGGTGTGGTACTCGTCACTCTTTGCTTTTCTAACAGTATACTGCAACAAAAGCAGCGAAGCAAGTCCTTGGATTATTGTTGACTACTCGAACAAGAAGAGAGTATAACGATCAGTAATTTTATTTTTCTAGTACTGATTATGATCTTCGATTATTTTTCAATATTCATGTTTAATCATCTTTCAAAATTTTACCATTCGTTTCACTACTATGTCAAAAGTATCATTAACTATTTCATTTAGAAAGACACTCTAATTAGTGATGAAATGCGTATCTCAAATATTGAAAAAGCATCTAAAGTCGAAAAAAAAACAAATAGGCACCCGTTTGAACTGAATTATGCAATAGCTGATAGGAATATGACATTTTTGTCTCGTGTTACTTTCCGAATTACAAATTCAGTTAATCATGTACTAAAATAAAATAGGCCCTATGTGATCAATGGCTAATTTCACAACATAGTATCCCAGTAATTGATTTAGCTTTCAATTTAGATGCCGACTTTCAACAGTACATCACTTAAAGTCTTATAATACAATTACCTAGTGTATGCAATAGTTCATGCATAATAATAGCCTGCACAAAGCATCCAGGGTAATTTAGCGTCACTGTACGATTCATAGTAACACCAGTATTTTGTCCAATCTGAGATGGTATAAAGGAAATATTTTTTTAAGTATATATCAATATATTTTAATTCATATGAATGATCAATTAACTTACGTAGGATGAACAACCGTTGCCATTAGTAACTCTAATATAATATGGATCAGATGATATTCTCGGTCGGAACATAATGCATTGTACATTATTGATTGCTATTAAACGCTCGAGTTGATGCATTGCAGCAATAATAAATTCTACTTGTGTCGGGGCTATAATAATGAGAAGAAAATGGATTCATTTTCTGGTAAAATCCCAATTCCCAACAACTTCATAAGCAGCATGATCAAAAGTCTTCGCGAATATTTCTATTGAAAAACATAGACTTACTATATCCTGGTGCGAATTCGTATGGTACAATGCCATCTGTCCACGGTACTGAACTGCCACGCCGTGCAACTCCACGCTTGATTATTTTTAGAAACACAAGCAAATAAATATAATTAAGCTTAAACTATTCACAATTTACTTACGTTAAACGGATTCTTGGAGGATGGAAATAGCATATCTCCTTCGAACAAGTTGGCTAAAAAGACAAGAGTAATCTATCACGATGAAGTTCGAAATCGTTTTTTTCTTCTGGGTGTGAGTGTGAGCACTGGCTTTGGCGCCCGGGGGGGGGGGGG